CCCCGGGGGGGGGGCAGCCACAGCATCTCTGGGCAATTTATTCCAAAGTCTTGCCACCCTCATACTGAAGAATTTCTTCCTAAGGTCCAGTCTAAATCTGTTCTCCTTCAACTTAAACCCATTTCCCCTTGTCCTATTGCTGGACACTTGTAAAAAGTCCCTCCCCAGCCTTCCTGTAGGTTCCCTTCAGGTACTGGAAGGCAGCTCTTAGGTCCCCCCGAAGTTTTCTCTTTTCCAGACTGAACAATCCCTGCTCCCGCAGCCTGTCCTCGTAGCAGAGCTGCTCCAGCCCCTGGATCATCCTTGTGGCCTCCTCTGAACACGCTCCAACAGATCCACGTCCCTCTTATCTTTCTGCACTCTGTTTTATCAGTTGAGGTATCCCATGATTGTGTTTTGGACCCTTATTTATTTAAGCAACCTCTCCTTCCTGAGGCACACCCAATGAGAGCCTTCCCTTGAATGGGATCCATAACCCTCTGGGAAATACAACGCTCTCAGACAATGTTCTCCATTGCTGTTCAACAGAAAATCAGGAAAAAACGCCGACATCTTCAACACAAGTTTCTCAATGAAAGTTTAAGGAAGGTAAAGAATGGGAAAGGACCATGCCAGGATACACACAGGTACCTTCTGGTGAGCTCAAAAGCTTAGATGTGACGTGGGAGTGGTTCCTGGTTATGGCCTATCCTCGGAGAAAGCTGGCATTTGGGATAGAGATGCGGATGATAAATGGACTGAACCAAACTCCTTTCACACAAGCCAGCCAGCCCTCAATGAGGAATTTCGGCACCTACTGACTCAAGATGGATAACACGCTATTTCAACTCCTCATCCCCTGCTGGGAGAGTTGCAGGAGTTGTTCAAACCACCACAGCACGCGGCATTCTCTCGGCTACTCTATTTTCTACAAAATACCAGGTGGCCTAGAATAATTTTTCCAATAAACAAGCAAATGAAGCTTTTTCCACTGAAACTTCCCTGCTGAGAGCCCCTTGTTACCCACCCTCCACCACAACACCCCACCATTCCCGTCTGCATCGCTTGAGACGCCTCGATGCCGCGTGTCAGGTTCCCTGCCCGGCAAGAGACTCTCTGGAAGTCGAGAATGAAGCCAGTCCCCACCTCCCTTCCGCCTTCTCCAGCCCCAAAGCTTGTGATTCCCTGTCCAGGAAAGCTCCTCTCCAGCCACGTGGGAGGTGGGGTAGGACGTCTCTCAATTTCTACTACTGGCGCCTGCTTAAAGCAAGACGTGGCCTTGGGCTGGGCTAACAAGGGCATCCTCTCAGCAGCCCTTAGTCAAGCCTCCGGGGCTTCGACCCTCAGCCAGAAAGGTCAGGCAACACCTCTGCACAGCTTCAGTCAGGCTTGCACACCTTCCTGATTAAATCCACTCCGGAATGAGAACTCAAAAATATAAAGCAAGTGTGTTTTCATCTCCCAATTCTGGAAAATGTTTCTTGTAACATTCCCAGCGAGGAGAGCCTGTGCACAGCCAGGGCTCAGACCGATGCAGCGCCTACGAAGACTTTGTTACTCACGTGGCTGCCACTCCGAGCAAAAATTCAAATGTCGCTCTGCTCTTCACAGGGTTTTCTTAGTAGAAGGATCACCTGTAGGAGAGCAAGCTTTCTACAAAGCTTTTTCCAGCCCTACCACAGCTGCGTGCACATTCTGCCTCTGGATCTTGGGCCACTAACATTCCTTTTGCTACTCCTGAGATAGTCAGAACACATTGCCCTTTATTGAGTACTTATTCTAAACGTTAACGTACAGCACTACTCTGGGCTCAGTGTTCGTCTCGTGTGGACCACGCAACACTTCCCCAACACTACCGAAACGCCAGGAGTCCAGCAACGTCACCCAGCATCCCTACCACCCAAACACTCGTTAGTGATCCCTGAGGGATCACGCTGCTCCCTGCATCCTGCCGCTCGGCCGCGTCGCCTTCCAACAGCCCCTTTCCCAGTTCACCCTGACATGCCCCTTCCCCGCACACAGAGCGGTGCTTTTCAAAGCAACACCTGCTCCCATAAAAATTACGGAGTGAATTCAAAGGTTTCACTTCACACCCTCTGACGCAGCACAGCGAGGAAGTCACTGGACACCGAAAGTCAGAAAGACAGAATCTCTCCACTATGAAACTCCACCCTCTTGGTCTTCTGCCAGAAGAAATTTGGTAGAGATGATTATTTATTTGATATAAGAATTATTACCTAAGAGAGACTGGCTTTCCTACAGCTGAAAGATACACTGGTCACAGAGGAAACAAAACTCTACCTTCTTTCTGTGGGGATGGCATAACTCTCCTACGAATTCTTCCAAGCTGCCAGTTGTCACGGCCAGAGCTCAGCGGCCAGGGACCAGCTAGGCTTTCCTGTCCATGGGAAGGGGGCAGTCTCTCCACGGAGAACTTAGACCCTAATAATCAGAAGTTGGGTCGATTCGGAAGCAGAAATACTTACCTTTGACGCCAGGTTGTCCACTAGTGCAATCATGGAGTTCTTAAAAAGAGTAGCAGCTGTCACAGGTCTCTTGGTTACCTCCGTGATGCTCAGTTTACCTTCAGGCCACATCATCTTCAACACAGGGTTGGAGCTAAAAGACAGTCTCTTTAACAGCATGGTCTAACAGCATTTCTGCTACATTCAACAGCTTGCTTCCCTCCAGATCTACTGGGGTTTGCAGCTCAAAACACATCAGGCAAACCTATATGATGTTGCTGGGCAAAAGATCTCTTGCTCTTGAGCCACACACGGTTCAAGCTTACAACCAAATATTCTGCGAAAATGACAAGCGCGTTCTCCTCTGCAGATAAAGATGTGCAGGAATAGGACAGTGAAAATCCTGCAGAAGTGATCTATCAAAAGCAGAGTCTGCCTTACTGACACAAACATAAAGAATTTAATCAAAAAAGAGTGAGGCCATAGCCCACGACGTCCTCCCTTGGAACTCGCTATCTGACTTCAAGCTGTATTTCTGCACCATTTTTGATCTACACAATAATTTATACACTTTAGCGTCTATTTTCTTGAAGGGTTGAAGGTGAGGTAGAATGGATGGCAAGAGCTCTGCAACCGACAAAAGCTGAAAGCGGTTACAGCAATCTAAGAGCCAATCCATCACACGCTTTAACATGTCGTAAGTGGTCTTGGTGAGCAGCCTTTAACGGAGACTTAGAGGAAAACAGAGGCTAAATTTAATAAAACCTCCACACAGCAAGGATTTTGCAGGTTTTTCAGTTAATGTGAAGTCTGGAAAACAGGCACAGTGAGACTGTTCAAGGGAGTACACTGAGTCAACCTAACAGGACGGCAAACTAAGTGAATAGTTAATTTGCCCATTTTTCCCCTCTCCTCTACGTTTTCTTTCAAAGCAGGGACTTCTGGCTGGGGCCAATAGCTGGGTTTGATCTAAAGCTGCTCATTATCTTCAGCTCTGATTAAAGAGAGATCACAGGGGTAACACTTGCAAGTGGTCCAAAGACCTGGTTAATGACAAACCAGGTAGCACCTGTAATCTCCGCACAGCTTTCTTGGTTGCACAATGAGTTGGTTTCAAACAAACCAAAGTAAAGGTTGTATCAGAACAAAAACATACACAGAGTAAGGACTTCATCCTGAAAAATCAAATTAACAGCCTTTGGGTCACGGTAGATACACGAAGATCAAATCCCAGTGCACTCAGCAATGATCTGTGCAAACACTTGCCTCGTCTAGTGCCCACTCTATCAAAAAAAGGATCCTGGCAGATCAGATTTAAATTCACCTCGTTAGTATTTTTATGCCTACCTGTTGTACATGAGGCGCTTGAAGTCTTGAAATAAAGTGTCCTTGTTTTTGTCAATAAATCCAGTGACTGAGTAACTAAAAAAAAAGAAAATAGAGGTAATTGCAAAGTCCTTCTCCGAGGTGCTGGCATCAGCATCTTCACACTCCTACCGACACAGCAGAAGCTGAGCAGGAACCCAGCTGTTTCCAGCCTCTCACTGATGGGCTGCAGGAGTCCTGGGAGAGACTTAGACCCTCCTGCCCGGCTTTCCAGCACAGGAACCACATCCATCCAGCTTTAGAAAGCTGCTGGTGGCAAGCACAGTGGCCAAGGCACCTAAGAGGACTTGAGAAAGCCGGCCCAAACTCCAGGGCTACACTCAAGGCCTCTGCCTCCAAATTCAGAGAACGTGTTTGGCTTAAACTCTACCAAAATGAAGGTTTCTTTTTCGGTCTGTCTAGTCTGTCCCTCTTGGCGTGAAGAAGGGTTCACTAGAGGGAGAACGCTTCCTTCCTCTATTCCCCCTGAAACACCACCCTGAAAAATTACCATTTGGGAGTTTCATCTCTTCTCTAAGACTCAAGACAGAGCTCTGTCCTGGAAGAAAAGTCAAAAATCTCCCCATTCGGTGACTCCCACTCAGCTACTTCCTGAGCTTCAGATCTCGCCCTGGGAAGCCTGTGCCCAAACCACAGGCACCGGGATCCAGAGCCCTAAAAACATTCAAACCCCTGCACAGAGCCATGACCAAACCGTACCGCTTCCCCTAAAATCTGAGCCCCATCTATGTTGTCTGTGCATATTTCCACACTTCAGTTTTCTTTTACATTTTTTAGCCACTGGCAGTGCGGAAGGTTCAACCACTAAGACAGCACCTTGTATTTTCTCCTCCCAAGTGCTTTGAACTCAGGGTGTTTCTCTCAGCAGTTGCTCAGTGAAGACTCCAGAACAAAATCTGTCTGTGCTGAAGGGCTCCAGTATGGTCCCACTGGTCACCCTTATAAATTAAATGTAAATTGAATCCCAAGGTAAAAGAAATCCCAATTTATTTCCTTATTAACTGCTTTTAGATTCTGCTCACACTCAAACACCAAATCACTCTGGTGATACTCCAGGCAACTTTCCCAGCGAGTAGTTTCTAACCTATGGGGGTCCTTCACTTCTGCTTAACCTCCCTGCGTGTCACTGTCACACACCGGGGCCGTTTGCGTAGGCGTCAGGTACAGAAAACTTTCCGGCCTGCACAGGGAAGGCTCCTTGCGCTGATGCTCCTTCCAGTTGAACGCTACCCCGAATCTGGAGTCTGCTCAAGCTGATTTGAGAATTTAAAGCCAGAGTTATGTAATCGCACTAAACATATGTCTAAACCAGATTTTATTAGCTCAGTATAGCTTTCTTGCATAAACAGCGATGGCTTTTATTTCTTCCCCCTCCTTTTTTTCCCCTGAAGCACTGCTCTCCCCTCACACCCCCCTTCACATTCTCCTTTTGTTTCAGTTCCAAATACAAAATCATATTCTGTACAGCGAGTAACCGGCGTTAAGATTTAATTGATAAGCAAGTGCCGCACTCTGTAATTCTGTATGACAGCTATTCTGGTTCAGAGCAGAAGCAGCATTAAATCAGAATGCTGTACCACTTCAAAGCTGGCTAAAAGACAAAAATAGGAGGTGCAACTTTATTTCTGAAAGAACCTTACATCACATCTCCGGCGTAGTGCTTGATTCGAAAGTCTCTGTCGAACTCCAGCGTTTTGTCGGTTGCACAAAGCTAAAATAAATTCACACAGATTAAAACATCACCAGTGGACGTTCAGGTTAGAGGAATCGCAGAGGAATCATTAAAATTGGAAAAGGCCTCTAAGATCATCTAGTCCAACCATCAGCCCAACACCACCATGACCACTAAATTCTATCTGCAAGTGCCACGCCTACGTGGCTTTTGAGGTTTCATGCATTGGAAATAGAAATGGAAAATATAGTTATTCTACTTTATACAGGCATGTGTAGGTGTGAAGTCCAGTTATAACACTCCTTTAAAACATTTTTTTTGCATGGATGCGTTATAAAAACACGCATCTGCGCAAAACCAAGTTGCAAGAGCCTACAGCTTCATTAAAAACTGGGGAGGATCTCCGAAACACCACTGAGCAAACAGAACATTTGTGCCTATAGAGAAACACCACCCCTAGAAGTTAAGACTTTTCAAGTCTTCCTTTACATTTTTCCCACGGCAATATCACTCCTCAGTGAAGAAATGAGGTGATCAAAACACGACCATTAAAATAGCCACGCTTGTTCTGTCCCAAATCACTCTGGATCGCCTAAGATGCCCCAAAAACTGCAGCCTCCCCCCCGAGCTGATCCCCCCGGGGCGGTCCCAGCCCCAACCCTCTGCTCTTGGCTCCAACGTCCCGTCGCGTCCCAAGGAAGATGCCAAGTGCCCTCATGGCAGCCCTCTGGCAGCAACGACCACAACACGCTCATCCCTTCAAGACTAACAGAAGCCAAAAAATCCATCAGGCTCAACTTAATTTAAAAACAAAAAAAAACAACAAGGTGAAAAAAATTTAAAAATAAGGTTTTTGTTTAAGCCAAAAGGGGCAAGGAGATGAATGAAGTCTTTGCAGGAAGCATGGGCACTGTTTAAAAACATCAAGGGCTACGAGCAAGTATCTGCTGTCCACCAAAATAAAGAAAATTTGGAGGAAATTAGTGTTGTTAGACTGCAGGGCAGGAGAGACGATCCGAAACAGGAAGGTGCCCTCCAAAAAACTTGACCTGTGGCCAAGAGCAGAAAATAGATTGGCTCCAACTGACAGATGTTAAAAAAATAAAATAAAATATTAAAAAAACCAAAATCACAAGGAGGAAACCAAAAAGCGTGAGTAGCAAGTACACAGAAGGTGACAGAGGGATAAGAAGCCCAGCGAAGAGGAGCAGGAAGCACGCCAGGATCTGCAGAGCTGAGAGACGACCCAGGTGCAGAAAGAGCAGAGAGAAAATGAAATGAGGCCAGGAAAACAAAGTAATTTTTCTTTTTTATAGCTGTGTTCACCAGCCAGCACCTACAGAGGGTGTAGTGCCTTTCAGCAATGACCCAAACTGCACAACTCAAACCAAGGTGGCAATAAAAGAGGTACAGGACGAGCAAAACCATCATGAAATGAAGCAACTGTTGCTACCAGACAGGACATGCTTGGCTGAGATCTCACCCAGCCCTGGAGAGCCTGGAAGGTGGTTAAACACAGTGTTGGGGTTTCTGAGTAAAGTTTCTCTCTGTGAACTTTTTGTCTACTGGGGAAAATCAGCCGCAATTGCTAAAAGAGAACAGCAAGTCTACGACGGGGCCGATAGTCTGCTTGGATTTCCGTGAGCCTTCTCAGAAGGATCCTCACCGACAACACCAAGAATTTAAGCTGCTATGAAAGAGAAACAAAAAGGTCCTCGCACACGTAACTGCTGGAAAGATGGGAAACAGGAGGCCTGCGGGGGCTGCGCTGAGGTCTATGCGCTAACATCATCTTAAACGAGCTCTAATCTGAGGGTAGCGCGAAGGTGATCAGACTTAATGACAGCACTTCGTTATTCATGGAGGTAAAGACAGTGGCTGGCTGTGCAGAACTGCAGGGAGACAGGAAAAGCTAAAGGAAGAGCAAAGAAGAGCACGGGAAATTCAACACCGATACAGTGATGCACACCGAGAAAATCCAAAGCTCGCAGCAAACGCCGGGCCCCAAACCGTCCACTCCCAACCCAACAAGGATCTCAGCTGAGCCTCCGTCTCTACAAGGACAGAGGAGAACTGGAAGAGGCTTGGTGAAGGGCACAACCCATCAGTGGTACTGCCTGCCTGCCACAGGAGGAAGGAAGGGCCAGAAGAACTAAAGCCTCTCCAGGTTAAGAAAGAAACGCCGGGGACGATGGCAAATGACGTGGAGACTACGTGCTGGAAGACAGAGTGAACTCTGTTTCGCTGTTCAAGAACAAGGAGCCAAGAGATGTAACCTAAAAGGGAGGAAAACGGGAAGGAAGGAGCTCTTCACGTGAGTATCGCAGCTGTGGAATTGTCAATTAAAATAAAAAAAAAGGAAAGATACTGTTAAGGACATGAGCCCTGATTCGGGAGGTTCCTGGGCTGCAGATCCCTGGGGAGCGGGAGCACATCAAATGCTCATCACGCTTTTGTCCCACAGTCTCCTGTCACTTAGACCTTCACTACTGCCCAGTGTCTCAGAAAACACAACATCAGGACTGGAACGGACCTGCTCATACTCTTCCCTTCACAAGCAGTTTGTGGAGATCAACACTAGTAAGAACTTTCCCCTATTTGAAGATTTAGGAATTCACAGACTATTGCTGCACTTGATCCTTTAAGTATTTTTAAAAATCAGAACCTAAAGAGGCAGAGAAAACGAACGTGTGACGTTGAGAAGCCCCATCAGAACAGTTAACATAGATCCAGACTGGCGTTGGACAATTCAGAGAAGGACGACCCACAAGCCAGGAAGGTAAAATTTGGCCACAAATACTCGTAGCGGAAGTGACTGTTGGTACTTTTCCTGGTTCGTTTGGCTTTCGCCAGGACAATCAAGCCGAGAGCAGTGCATCCGACAGGCAGCACACAAACTAGGACACTCCTATTTAGGGCAGAGCAGCCCCTTAGAGCTTATCCACACGGAGCCAGTGCCCAACACGCTCTGCAGGGGAGCAGCGAAGCATTAACTCAGGCTGAGGCTGGGAGCTGCTCCGGCACCCGTCCCTTAATTCTTGAGGAACAGCTCCCACCTACGCTGAGCTTTGTAGTACCTGGACGGAAGTACAGCTGTCTGCGGAAGCCGACGGTGAAATGAAATCAAGAATAATTCAGGCTAGAAAAGGCTGGCTTGGAAAGCTCAGGTTTCCCACAGTAGCTCTAGATAGGAGTGAGGAAGATATTTTAGATACACGTAAAGGACATCTGCAAAGACGCGAGAGGGGGAGCAAAAAAAATAATTACGACGCTGAGAGTTTTATGGGTCAATTTTTTCAAGGCTATATTGATTTAAACTAGAAACGAGCAAGCCAGGACAATACATCATACCCTCCATAAACATTATTTATAGCCGTATGCCTTGTTTGCCTCAGTCTGTGCAAACAGTTTTCCGACAATGCCACCCCCTGCTGAGGAACACGGCGACCGGCAGTATTTTCTTTTAATGCTTCCTATGCTGCGAAGGGACTCCTGAAGGTTAGGATGCAGATTTTAATTTTTTTTTTATTTTATTTTTTATTTTCACTTTATAGCCTCCCATATACTTTATGGAATTCAGTCCTCTTCCTCGCTGCATCAAAGGCTGGACTTGAGCATCTCGGAGGTCTTTTCCAGCCTCGATAATTCTGTGATTCTGTGAAAGCTCTGCCTGCTCTCTCCGTGATGGAACTGCTCGACCTCAGCAGACGCGGGACCAAGGATGGAGCAGAA